TGTCAGTCTGAGCGAGATTAGGATGGCTCTCCAGCACCTTAAAAACGGTAAGGCCCCAGGCGAGGATGGAATTACAGCGGAGCTTCTGAAAGCGGGTGGAAGACCGGTACTTGAAGTCCTTCAGAAGCTCTTTAATTCTGTCCTCCATGGTGGCATTACACCGGAGGCGTGGAGCAGAAGTGCGGTGGTCTTGTTCTTCAAGAAAGGTGACAACGCTCTCTTGAAGAACTACAGACCGATTTCCCTTCTGAGCCGCGTCTACGTGCTGTTTTCGAGAGTCATTACGAATCGTCTCGCGCGCAGACTTGACGACTTCCAGCCTCCCGAACAAGCCGGTTTCCGAAAGGGCTTTAGCACCATAGACCACATACATACCCTTCGGCAAGTTGTACAGAAGTCCGAAGAGTACAATTTGCCACTATGTCTGGCGTATGTGGACTATGAGAAAGCCTTTGATTCCGTCGAAATTTGGGCGGTGCTGCAGTCCCTTCAGCGGTGCCAAGTTGACTGTCGGTATATCGAAGTGTTGAAGTGCTTGTACAGTAGGGCTACGATGGCTATCCGAGTACAGAACCAGAATACGAAACCTATCCAATTGCAGAGAGGTGTAAGACAGGGTGACGTCATATCCCCGAAACTCTTCACCGCTGCATTGGAAGACGTTTTCAAGCTTCTGGACTGGAAAGGATACGGTATCAACATCAATGGCGAGTACATCACTCACCTTCGATTTGCCGACGATATAGTCCTTATGGCAGAATCGCTGGAGGACCTAAGCACTATGCTCAATGACCTCAATAGTGTTTCCCAACAGATAGGTCTTAAGATGAACATGGACAAAACAAAGATCATGTTTAATGTCCATGTCACACCTATGCCGGTAGTTGTTGGGAGCACTAAGCTCGAAGTTGTTGACGAGTATGTTTACCTGGGACAAATAGTCCGACTAGGTAAGTCCAACTTCGACCGAGAGGTCAATCGACGGATTCAACTCGGCTGGGCAGCGTTCGGGAAGCTACGACACATCTTCTCGTCAGACATACCTCAAAACCTTAAAACGAAATTGTACAACCAGTGCGTGTTGCCAGTGATGACTTACGGAACTGAGACGTGGTCCTTCACTGCTGGCCGTATGAGGAAGCTCAAGGTCGCTCAGCGAGCTATGGAGAGGGCTATGCTCGGAGTTTCTCTGCGTGATAAGCTTACGAATGAGGATATCCGCAGTAGAACCAGAGTGACCGACATAGCCCAACGGATTAGTAAGCTGAAGTGGCAGTGGGCCGGCCATATAGCTCGAAGAACCGACAACCGATGGGGAAGAAAGGTTCTCGAGTGGCAGCCTCGTACCGGTAGGTGAAGTGTAGGGCGTCCCCCCACGAGATGGAGTGACGACCTGGTAAGACATGCAGGAAGTCGATGGATGCAGGTGGCTCAGGACCGTGCTTTGTGGCATTCTTTGGGGGAGGCCTATGTTCAGCAGTGGACTTGTGAAGGGCTGTAATGATGATGATGATGATATTATTGATTGATATTATATTTATTCTTTACTACCTATCCTGTAAATCTGGAAAACGCGAGTCGCCTCCGATAGATGGCAGTGGACGGTATAATATAATCATTTCGAATTTAAATCACTTGTTCCATAAATGCCATTCCATTACAGCCTATAAAAGGCCACTGCTTAACATAGGCCACCCCCTTAGATTGGCTTAATAAAGGATGTTTCCACATTTGCCGCGCTTGGCGCTTGGGTTGGCAGCTGCAATTTTTTATTACTTTTCATAGTTATCAGGAAGACGCTGCTGCCTATCTCCTGTTTCATTCTCCTTCTGTCGCTCCTTGTGACATGAAAATATTTTATATCTTATATTTATGCGAACACGATACATTGTATGAAACATATTTTACGGATTTTAAATTAAATTTATAGTCATAAACTGAATGTAGCCGGGCTTACTATGACATCGGAATTCGGGACGTCAAACACCTCAGTCCCTCCCGTGACAATAAAGCAGGCGAAACGTTGGTAATTAAAAAGTTAAAATTAAACGCGGCAAAATATTCTAAAGTGTGAAACTTTTTCGTCCACTATTTTATTTTTTTAAGGTTTTAACATTTTAAGGTTCACCTGTGAACTGTTTATGGGCCGACGGACTAAAACATTACCGTATGTAATAGACTAATAGAATAGAATCATTTTCATTTAATGTAGAAACTCATTTAAGCTTTACCACTCGTTCAGAAAAAGCCTCTGTCCTTGGCAGAACTATTAAGAAACTCAGCGGGCTTTGTGTATAGCTGTAGCCCTGTGTTACAGAATCCAATTAGTATTAAGTGACTATTAGAACGATAATTAAACGGTGAATCCCACCATCATCCTTCACAGTTAGATACCGTGGGCAAATCTTTGTTACAGAGAGCACGAGGGATCTGTGACAGCAAACACCTGGCCGCCGAGCTTCAGCACGCCAAGCAGGTTCTGAACGACAACAAGCTTCGTGTCCCACGCCTACGCCACAGTGACCGAGTGAAGCCGGCCACAGTCGAGCGTGTGTCTGCTGTATTACCATATTATGTCAGAGGTGTCACAGACAAGATTGGCTACATCTTGAAACAAGCTTCTATTAGAACATTCTTCAAGCCACCGAAGAAGATTAGTCAGTTCTTGCCATCCGTCAAGTACAATATTCCTCTACAAGATGCAGGAGTATACAAGCACGGGTTCCTTAAATGACAGCAGAAACATAAAAAGTATTATCTCCTCAAAATTGTTCTTTCACATAAATTATAAAAATATTTTCTTTGTAATAAAAGAATATAAAAGCAAACAGTACCAGTTTTCCGCAGACAAAAACGATATAGTAAAATTATGTTGAAGACATCTAAAGTTTTCTAATAGAGTAGAGATAGCAAGGCAACTATCTCTCGAACTTACCGAGTTAGGGTGGAGGATACATGGATACAATTAGCATGTGAAAACACTGCGTTGTCCCGGCGGCGCCGCGGGCATGCTCTAATTGGCCCTGTGTAAACTTGGCCTGTTATCGGACTGCCTGGAGCGGTAGCAAGCTTGGATAATATAAAATATGCTTTATTATATTTACTAGCTTTGTTCCTGATCTCGTCAGGTTAAAATGTCAACAAAAGTGTCTACGCATTAATGTACTGTGTCACTATTTTCTCCCTACTTTTGTTATTTGGATGCATTTAACTATGACAAAATTCAATCATCGATGGGAAACATCCAGAGAAATATCTCTGTGACAACTGACTAACAACACCAAGGTACGTATCCCGATTTAAAAAGGCCATTTATAAATATTTTGTATTTCAAATAACGATTCATAGAAAATAAGAAGCGCTTATAGTGAGAGATTCCACGACCAGCTTATTCAGCTTTGCGGTAAAGGAAAATTATTTCACTAGAGATGCCTGAGTAGTGCCTGCGTTGAATAGCAAGTGAAATTATAATGATGATTATATTTTTACTTACATTTTATTACATTAACTAAATTCCATGCTGATAATTCTCATTTGGTTGATAAATTGCCGTTGATAGACAAACTTACGCCTGGGTGATTAAAGTACAGAGCCCAGGTAAAGAATGGAATGTGACTGAATACAGTAAACTAAATCAATATTTATTTTTTAGATGTGCATGTATGTGAGTACCGGATTTCTGACATTGTATGGTAGCGTACTGTAGCGTAGCTTCTCTAATAAGGTAGTGAAAGCAGGTGGTGAATTGAAGAGAAACTTAGGTGTAATAAATTTCTTGTAATGTTAATCAATTTCAATTATTAACCGAAAGATTTTTAACTAATTTAAAATCCGAGCGACAATCACCTTGTTCATCAAGTTGTTTCGACCCTGCCAATGATGAATTACAGAACCAAGGCATAGTCCTTTATTGTTAATCGTAGAGGAAGTATAATTCAGTGAGCGATGAAGAGGGTTAAGTTCAGAGTTTCTCTTCGTGATAGATTCCGTAATCAGTGAAACAAGAGTATTTGACATAGTCTAACTTGATCAGTTAGCTGATGTCATAATAGGACGGCGATAAAGATCGAAGAACTGACGCTCAATGGAAAAGAAACGTACTTGAATTGTAGTCACGTACGATGAAAGCACAGGTTAGGTGATCCTTCATAAGATGGAGTGACGACCTGATGAGACATGCAAGGATTCGATAAAAGCAGGTGATGAAAAAGGGGGTATGTGGCAAACTATGCAGAATGTCTATGCTCAGCCTTAGATATGAAATCACCTTTGATGATGGTTATGTATAAATTTTATTAATATTATAATTCATATAAAGCCCTCTCTACACTAAACGAAAAAGTAAAATCCGTACACCCAGCACACTAATATTGACTTCTTATTACCGCAGCAGCCGCACTGGTCCTGTGAGCGTCGCGTCAAATCCTATCGTTCACCCCTACACTACAACAGCGAGTCAGCATAAACAGCAATTTGTCAGAAGATCTAACTAACAACTGTATGTTATCTTACAACAGACTAACGTTATGCACGTCGCACATCCTCTAAAAAACTGTCACATCACTAAAAAACAGGTTTTGAGTAATAGCCATTTTAAGTTTTTTTTTTAATATATATACGATGTAGTCACCTCAGGGTGGCTGATATCTTTTTTCTTATAATTTTATTTAATGTAAAATTTAATAAGCTTCTTTAGGAAAATCAAAGTTAGAACAGCAATTGCAATTATAAATGTCTTTTTTTTAAATAATTGTAAATAATCCTAAATTATGACTCTTTTTTACATTATGGTGGTGTTATAACTAATAATAATACAACATGTACTAATAAACATTTTTATTAAAATGGTTCTTAAACTATGAACTTTACTTGAAAAATCACTTAAAATGTTTTTTCTCATACTAATTTCAGTCATCATCACATAAAATCAATCATCTTAAACATATACATTAAATTGAGTCTGTATGTATACACTGCCAGTACCAAATTTTTATTTAGAATTAGAGACTGTTATAAAAAGAGGCATAGAAATTTGGAATGTGGTTACTGTTGACTAAACTTATAAGGTCCTTCTTTTTATTTTCTTTTATTTTAGGTTTGCATCTGTATGCTGGTTTAATTTGAATGTCTTGAGCCTTTAATTGTTTTCTAGTGATTTGGATTTCTTGAAAATCCGAGTCTTTATAAGAATGTTTAATGAAAACTTTAGTGGGCTCGCCCTGAATCATTTTCAAAACTTTTATTTCAGCAGTCTTCAAATTTTTTGCATTAAAGCCTATATCATCAGCCAAACATTTCATCGAAAAAAAATCTTTGTAGCACATTTCATTAACATTGTATGGATTGCCTTTCTTTCTCGCATTTCGTATTATTTGAGCATACTGGCTGGGGACATAAATGGGTCCAGATCTGAGGTTTTTCTTGATAGCTTTTTCTATCGTGGAATGTGCTGCATCCCCTTCATTTTGGGTGTGGCCGGTTATAAGGTATTTGTGAGTTATTGATTTTATATTGGAATGCTTCATCAAAGCGAATGTGTACATAGAAAAAATAAATTTATTTTTTTGCTGTCCACAGCAATTGTCTGAGAAAAATACGAATTCAATCCCTGAGCCGCTGTAACTTGCCATAACTTTGTCAATAAATTTAAGTACACAAGATCCAATCTCGTCTGCTCCTCGATTGGCTTCACCTTCATGCCACAAGTAGCATTCGGTATGATCAGATCCAAGTTCGCTAATAGTGAAATTCAGGTTATTTAATTTAGATTTATAATAAAAAATCGAAACATCTCCTTTTGGACTTTGAAGGACTGCTTGAAGGTCATACACAGCGACAATGTAGTCAGTGCTCGCTTTAACCTTATCGTTTTCTTTTTCAATTCTAGACCATTCCTTTTCATCTAAATGTGACCAGTATTTTTCGCTCAACTTCTCCTTTCCAGATTCATCCGCATTTTCAAAGCTGACACACAACTCACAACGGTCTTTTTTAGGGATAAAGAAACTTATGTTGAATTCCTGATTGAAAATTTTGGCGTACATTTCATAGTTCGCTGCTGAGACTCCTTGTTCCAAACAATTATTTTTATAATCTGCATGTAAATCTGCTATACATTTACCACCATCAATGAACTCGCGGCTTGAATTTTTTCTGATATAATGACTTTCTATTCGTGGTATAGAATTTATGTGTTGTCTAACTGATTCCTTAATCGATTCATCAACTTTTTTGTGATGGCCATGTTTGCCTCTTTTATCAATTTCAACAAAACCCAATTCTCTCTTTCGAAATACTGTTCTTATAACACGGTCATTCACATCCAATGTCGCCATAAAAAACTTCTTACACACCCGTATTTGTTCATTGTTGATTATAAAATAAAATGCGTTATTATAACCTCGGGGTATCTGTTTACCAGAAAAACGAATTGCAGGCATAATAGGTTTTGTACAGCTATTAATAAAGTTTCTTTGCAAAGTAATATCACCTAGTTCCCAATATTTAGAAAAAATCTTTCTTCTCTGGTTGTCGTCGATTTTAGAAGAACATTGCATTTTGCATTTATCCCTGCAAGGTTGTTTCATAGCACGTGCTGCAACAATTTTTTTTGTTTTTGATTGCGAAACATAAGCTTGACCGGTATTACGCAATTTCTTTGCTTTGTTAGCTAGCCAGTCATCTACCCTTGCTATACGTTTCTTCCCTTTCTTTATATTCTCTTTCCTCTGTTCTACAATCAAACTAGTATTGTTTTCAGCTACTTCGTCTTCATTTGTCTGTGCACATTGTTGGATTGGGGGTGGTTCAATTTGGTTTTTACCATACGACACTAACGGTCTATCGGTACTTACTGGTGTCTTTTTTGAAGAAACAGAGGGGCTTCTAGATGAACTGCTAGACGAGCTTGACGATCCGATGGAAAAACTTGATGATGTACTGGAAGATCTAGATTTATAGTTAGGGTCCTTCACTGAATCATCGTCGTCTTCCGAAAAGGATTCATTAGCGGAGTTGGCATGGGTAGGTTTGTTTTCAGGAGGGTTGTAACTGCAATGCGCAACTGGTTCAGTGTCATTCCAACCTTCAAAAGTCGCATTTTCAACTGAAATGAAATATGTAATAAAATATGAAATAGAGAAAAGTTATGTATACAAGAAGCTGTGTAAAGAGGTGAAGATAGGTTATGAACAATTTACAAAAAACTTACCCAAACATTCACTTGAATAGTTTTCATTTATTATCTCGTTATTCCCTGAGTTTTCAATTATTGGTGTAATGACTGGATTTTCTGCAAAAAATAATAGTGCGTTATAGTAATATACAAAAATTTTATTATGAAAACATTTCAGTTTAGATAAAAACATAAATCAATATTTATAGTTCACTTCAAAAATTACCCAATATTTTTTCTATACCAGCTTACCTTTGCTATTGTTATCATAATTTTCTTTGTTTTCAATATTTTGATTATTTATTAATTGCAATAACTTTTTAGCCCGACTTTCTTTAAATTTGTCAGCCATTTCTATGTTCTGAAAGAAAATTCACGGGAAATGACAATGTTTTCTCATATTTAATGGATTTAAAGTAGTGGTTAAACTATTAAACTGACATAAATCTGGATACGAAATGGGCATAACACATAATATGGTTGTATTACCATCACTATGTAGTATAAACTAATTAGATTGAATTAGATAAAACAGTCATAAACTAGTTGTGACGGTTTTTTTTTCAATCTGCTTTTACAAAATTTTGCTTAATAAAAACAAAAAAGTGCCACAACATAGAATAGATCTATATTTTCAACAGGTCAAATTACGAAAAAAGGATAAAGTTTAGAAAAATAACGTCATAAACTGTGATGTGACACTTTTTTAGATTCTATTTTAAAATTTAATTTAATTAAGAATGAACTAAACTGTAGTATTATGTTATATGACAGTTTTTTACTCATCTATTTAAACGAATTTCAAATTAACTTACCTGAAATATAGTCCTAAGACAGCTTATGACAGTTTTCACGAGCACTAACACACGTTCACTTGCTGTAAGCTTTAATGCGTCACTGTTTCCGAGCGGGCGAAGCGCATTTGTGTTCCCGAGAAAACTGACACTTGCACCATCTAGTAGCATTCTGTCACACTACAGTTATGGCGGTTTTATTCATACATAGAGAATCGAAAGCGGGATAAAACTGCGTTTATAACTCAAAACGCCATTTTTTTGTAATATGACTGTTTTTTAGAGGATGTGCGACGTGGGTTCAGCAATTCTTGTAAATATACCTGTAAGCATTAAAAAAAGTTGGTTCCAAAGATGAAACCAGTTTTTTAAGTTCAAACGATCCGTTATATCACTAGTGATATAACTATATCACGGATTCAACTATCTTACTGCAACATATCCTTTGCTTAATACACGTGCGTTGAATACATTTTTATTTTACGCATTGTAAAGTTTTTTGGCCAATGACAGCATTGTTAAAAACAACTCTATTCTCATAAGAAATTAAATTATGTTCAATGAGGTAATAGCCTCTGTGGCCTAATGGATAAGGCATCGGCCTCCTAAGCCGGGGATTGTGGGTTCGAGTCCCACCAGGGGTAATATAATAGTTACCTTTTATAGTTTAGATTTTATTTGTTATCGGAATAACCCTACGTAATTTTCTTCGCGATGTTAATTATTCTATTATAACAATATAATGCACTTTTAGCAAAACCTTCCGAATAAAAATTTTGAAGAGCTCGGTGGCAGAAGCTATAGAATGGATAATTTTATAGATAGAGATAGCATCCGACGAGACATGTCGCATCAGAGTTCAAAAGAAACATTTAATTTGTAATATTGTATGAAATTTAGTACTGCGACGCTCAGACCGAGGTAGTTTTAATTTAACCTTATAGCTAGGTTATCAGGGAGCGCCAGGAAATTGCTGGATTAGAAGCATTTAATAAAAATAAAATTTTATACTAAACGAACAATTTCTATTTTCCGTAAAAGATTGTTTTGTTGTGAACTTTACTGATTTCTGAATTGAATTGGGTGGTTACTGAAACATATCTAATGTATAACATATTCAAAATTAAATTAAATGTTCTAAAATCAAGGGGCTCCCAATAATTTCATGTGGTAACCTGTTAAAGCCGTATCGTTTCGTAAACTAGTTGTACTATTTTTATGTAACCGTTGGTTAGAAAATTTACGGTTCAACATTTTCGGCAATGATTATAATAACTTAATGTGATAAAAAATGACAGCTTACGTCCCACAGCTAGCTACAATTCCACATGTTCTCGTAATGTTTATCCTGTGAGACATGCGACTATGTTTTTTTTAATAAAACTAAACCCAGTAAAAAGCAGTGAAAATAAGTTTTACGTGGTAGTCATGCTGCAGCTATATTACTAGTAGGGAAGGACCACGCTCTCACAGAAGACCAGCGTAAAATATCAGCTTAATGCCGTTGTGTTTCGTATGGTGAGTTTACAGATCCGGAGACCCTTTTTACTGGAAACGAGGTATTCCATCTGAGCCCTCACGGGTGACATATGCATCTGCATTTTGATTCGTAATCGAGGATAGATGTAGATAGGGCACAGCAACCACTTACCATCAGGTGGACTGTATGCTCGCTTGTCACTCTTATCATATAAAAAATATGTCACAATGGACCTCCACAGTTCACTTGATGGTGACTACTGCAGTCCGTGCAAACCTGCAGCCAAATTCAAGCAAAGATGGCAAAGTGGCAAGAGATGTGTTGTCACTTCTGTTGACTAAGATGGTATACCTAACAGCATGTACATAAACTGGCTCCTTATACCCTTCACAATGGAACACAACAGTGCAAACACTGCTATTTGATGGTAGAAATAGGTAAGAGAGTGTTACTTTCCCAGGCGAACTTCCAGGCAGAAAGAAGTACTATCACCTAGTATGTAGGACTTGCTTACCGAGTTCGTAAATTACCACTAAAATTGCAATTTATAGCAATTCAATTGTTATTAGCGTAGGCCGAACTCAGCTTACTCATTTATTATGAAAGTTTGAACTAATAACTATCTATTACTGTTTTAAGGAAAGTAAGTGAGTGTATCCATTTAGTCTCTCATCAATGGATACCGCTCATAGGTAAAGGTAGCTGGAGCGATGTTCAGAGTAAGAGAGAGGACAGTAACTGGATGAGTAAGGCCTAAAATCAAACTATGTGACGCGTCATGTGAAAGGCCTACGGCTAGTTCGTGTTGCTGCTATCGCAAAGTGATGTATATGATGGATAAGCTGATTAAGTGATAAGTTAAAATGAAGAGAGAAGGTTAAAAAATAAATAGAGAAGGGAACGTGGGAGATGCTATTCAAACTAAGTAAGACACACAATTTTATTTTACTGAGCGGATATTAGCAAAGTAAATTTTTCCAACTTTAATATAATGAATTTCCGCAAAGTAACGCCTGATTGTAGTCATTATTAAAGAGAGAAGGATTTTATGAATCGCGTGATATTGTAACGAACTTAGAGTATTTATAAGCAAGCTAGCTTATAAATATTGTAAGGTATTAAGGTAACGAAGTAAAATTTTGCCGTAACACTTAAATAATATTAATTTTATAATTAGTAGTAATATTGTAAAGTCATCTCTCCGGCCTTTTAATTCCACTTCTGAAAAAGCGTTTTCAGAGTTGCGCTAATAGGCATTCATTTCTTGAGTGCTGTCTTTATTCACTACAATGGTTAGGAGGAGGGTTGTTAAACCCATAATTTATCATCAGTTTGTGATATTTGAGATTTAGAATGAAGTTTTTAAGATAAAGATCTTATCTTACCAATAAGTTTAATTCTTTTGCTATTGCATGATGAACTAATAATAACAAAATAGGTTACATTAACGACCACGTGATCTGATAATCGATATCCATATTCGCCGTGAGTTGTTGATATTAAACTCAAAATTAGCATATTGTGCATCGTAGCAATCAATAGTCTCTTCGATATCCATTTACTACCCATTGTATTGAAACTGGAACCCCTTTGTTCTATGCACGGGTTTCGGAACGCAACCCGACGCAATATGGCGTCTAAACGTCATCAGAAACAACATGGCCGCGACGCGGTTATTGTTTGTAGTTTATAGTTAAGATCTAATTTGACGTTTATAATGGTTAGATTAATTTGAAGAGGTAAATTTTATGCAACAGTTTCAAATTAAAGTCTATTGGCACCATGTCGAATCTAAGCAGAAATTTGTGCATATGTTATAGGCACAATGATTGTGATGTGCTGGAAATTACTTATTATTTCTCACTTCATCGCTCTCAACTTTTTTAACCTGCCTCTACTAAAATAAATCAATTCCAAATAGGTGAATAGAGGATTTACTTATCTATAATATGACTGTAGGGTAATTCATCATTGCATCATTACAGTCCTTCACATGTCCACTGCTAAACATAGGCCTTCCCCAAGCAATGCCACAAAGTACGGTCCTGAGTAACTTGCATCCATCGACTTTCTGCATGTCTCACCAGGTCGTGACTGCATCTAGCGGGGGGACGTCATACACTTCGCCTGCCGGTACGAGGCTGCCATTCGAAAACGTTTCCTCCCCATCGATTGTCGGTTCTTCGAGCTATATGGCCAGCCCTTTGCCACTTCAGCTTACTAATCCGTTGGGATATGTTAGTTACTCTGGTTCCACTGCGAATATCCTTGCTTTTAAGTCTATCACGCAGAGAAACCTCGAGAGTAGTAACCTCCATAGCACGCTGAGCGAGTTTTCTCATACGGACAGCAATGAAGGATCACATCTCAAATCCATAGGTCATCACTGGCGAATGCTGCTCTGCCGATTTGAATCTGTCGATTGACCTCTCGGTCAAAGTTGGACTTACCTAGTCGGACTATTTGTCTCAGATACTCGTTAACAACGTCAAGCTTAGTGCTCCCAACATCTACCGGCATAGGTGTGACATGGACGTTACACATGACTTTTGTTTTGTCCACGTTCATCTTAAGGCCTATCCGTCAGGAGACACTATTGAGGTCATTGAGTATTGTATTAAGGTTCTCCAGCGTATCTGCCTTAAGGACAATATTGTCTGCAAATTGAAGGTGGGTGATGTACCGGTCATTGACGTTAATACCATATCCTTTCCAGTCCAGTAGTTTGAAAACGTCTTCCGATGCAGCGGTGAAGACTTTCAGGGATATTACGTTTCCCTGTCTTACACCTCTCTGCAGTTAAATAGGTTTCATACTCTAGTTACAGAACCATTTTAAGATTCCGTAATCGGTTAGCCAACGGTTTTTTTATAGGATAAGGATGGCAAAGGAGCACACAGTCCACCTGATGGTAAGTGTTTGCTGTGGGTCATAGACATCTACATCTATCCTTGATTACGAATCAAAATGCAGATGCGTTGTCACCCGTGAAAACTAAGATGGAATGCCTCGTTTCCAGTAAAAAGGGTATGCGGTTCTCTACACTCACCATACGAAACACAGCAGCGTTACGCTGCTATTTTACTCTGGTATTTTGTGAGAGCGTGGTCCTTCCCTGGTCGAGCCGACTCATTCGTGCTACAACTATACCACTAATAAAGCTACAGCATGGCTCTACCATCTACATAATATGAACTAGCCATATACAGTCCGTTCTCTTAATCTGAAGTCTTCTGGTGCAAGAAATTTAGAATAGAATACTTTATATTATTACAGAATCTAAATAAAGCTTATTACAATTTAGTTTAACTTGAACTTTTACTTGAACTTATAAAACTTATTAAAAAAAATGTTAATTTTCTATGAACTAAATTGCAAATTCCAGAAAATCGTTTGAGTCAGCGGATACGGTAACGGCATATAGTTCAGCTGTGTACAACGAATTAACTTAATTACGACATGATCATGTGCATACAGAGTATCAGTTTACATCTAATTGTATTAGATAATTAATCCAGAAACCACTACAAATGATAAACTTTTTCTTTATTAGTTTTAACACAATTTAAAATGTCTTTAGGTTTTTTTTAAAAATAATTAATGCAATTGTTATTTGCTAAATAGACAATATAGTATATAAAATATAAAATTATATGTGTAGGTATATTTAATGTCAGGATAAGTAAAATAT